TACTGAAAAGCCTACTAAAATATAATACAAATAAAATAGAAAGCCTTACTCATCTGTATATCTAAATAAGGTCATTTTTTCGTTATGCATTTCAACCAAAACAACATATTGCATCAGATTTAATGTAGAAGCAGTTATGAGAATCCAGATAATGAAGAGATTTGTAAATATAAAACAGTGCCATTTTCCTCACTAATGTTTTTTGAGAGACTATCATTTTTTTTCTAAATATGTATTTATGTTGATATGTAAGATTTATTATTTTTAAATGAATTTAGCAAACAATGTAAAAATTTCCTAGTTTTAATTTCTAATACTAAATATCAGTATATATCACATACATGAACAAAAGCTCTTTGGTATTCCAAGTAATTTTTAAGTGTGTAAAGTGGCTCTGCGATAAAAATAGTTCGAGAATTTGGTGAAATAATCTTCATTTGGCTAAGAGAAAGTGGTGTTTGAGGCCTTGCAAAAATTTTCTCCTTAGAATCCGATGCCTTTATGTCTAGGTACAGGGTAGATGTTAGTGGTTTAGGGTTTGATGATGATAAAATTTTTTGATAATATGTTTTAAAATTTGGCTAAATGTGTTTTGTCTAAGCTCTTTTTCAGTTAGAGAGATGAATTCTTTGTTAAAATCTATTACCATTTAGTTTGGTAAGCATATTGTCAGTGGTCTTTTAACAATACATTGAATTAAATTGAATCTTTTTGTCGTAAACATATGCAATTTTAAGAACTATAGTAATATTAAAATGTTGAAAATTTCTTGCTTTAAAAATAGTTCATACTTATATAAAAATTATTATAAAGTCACATCCCCAGAAGGAGGGCACAGCGTGAAAACAGTCAATTTCAAGATCTGAAAACCTTGATTCTGCAGAAATAGAAATGACAAGAAGTGAAAGACTTGTGTCTCCAGTAAGGATGGAAAAGAGGAAGGAAGGATTTCCTGTATTCAGACCATTTAAAATAGTTAGAAAATGCAAAGCTGAAGTTAGAAAATGCAAAGCTTGCCGAAGGTGCGAGGGGCGCGCTGCCCCTCTGTATCTGTCTTCCCTGGGGTCTTCCCTGGGCTCGGTCCGCAGTGGGAGCTCAGTGCTGGCGCCGTTCTCAGTACTTCCATGGAAGATGAATCAGCGCCATTCTCTTCTCTGTTTAGCTTGTCGAACTAAAATTTGAAGCAAGTTCAGGCAAGGAGATAGTTAATATAAATCTTAGGGAATAAATAAATACATACTTCTTAATGCAGTGTAGCATCAATCAGTTTTTCTGGGGGGCAGACATTTCTGCCTGATTGAGTATCCAATGTCTGTGTTGAATTCACCGCCCATTAAAGGCTTTCCTTGTGCTGGAGCTGATGCCAAGTCTAGTCTGGTCTCTGCCCCTGAGGAGCTCACAGTTCTGTGCCTTTTAGTCCAGTCTCCAGCGATAGCAGAAGTAGCATATGAAGGATTGTTGAATCTTTAAGGAGTCAGACTTCTGTAGTTGTCATCATTATGACTTTTACTTGTCTTTGTATTAGTGTATTTGTTCATTTGTAGTTTCTCCGAGGCATAGTCAGTGTTACTTTTGGAGGAAAAAAAAATTGTGCTGTCAAGTGTCATCTGTCTAATTCTGCTAAAGTGAAAATGTGGAAAAATCCCAGGTAACGGTTTTGGTTAGATAGGTTCTGACTGTAATTTTTTTTTTTGGTAGATGCTCGCTTTTCTCTTTGTCATATTAAAAATACATCTAAACCAAAAGATGTGTTTCTCCTACTCTGTGAGCTCTTTATTTCTGTGTTGTTTATTGTGACATTCATTTAAAATCCTATAGATGTGGACTTTTTTTTTAAACTATTTCTTTCCTCAGATTTATTTATTTTTTTAACATTTTTTATTGATTTATAATCATTTTACAATGTTGTGTCAAATTCCAGTGTTCAGCACAATTTTTCAGTCATTCATGGACATATACACACTCATTGTCACATTTTTTTCTCTGTGAGTTATCACTATAGATGTGGACTTAATCTTATTTTGGTGACTCTGAATTTTACTTACCATTCTTGGCTTCTTAATTAGAGCCCCAGGCATCTGGCCTTGTCTATGGAGTAGCTTCTCCACAGATGAAGACCATAGTGATGTTACCTGAGTACCTTAGCACATAATTCAGCTGTAGGTTCTCAGTGGAAGTTGTTCTGTCTCCTTGAGAAACTCATTGAGTGGGAGGGTGTCCCATCCGTCGCTTTGGGAGAGCAGACAGGTATACTGCTGTAGTCAGAAATGTATTTGAAGCTCATTTTAAAAAGAACTTGGTTGGGTGTGTCTTGGCAGTTATTTTGTAATTTCCAAGTGATTTTTTTTATTACTTCGAAATTGTGAAGAACCATGAAAATTAATCTTGAGAATTTCTTCTTTGCTTAAAATTACCTAGTGCCCCCTACTTACAGGCACTCAGTGATTTGCAGTGTTGAATCAAGTAATCAGTTTCCTAGTGGAACACTCTTTCCCACTGTTAATCATCCTGTTTTTATTTTGCATAGTGAGATTGGCTGGAGAGTTACCAACATGTTGAGGTTGGATTTTTGGTGGTGTCATGGTGTGGCAGCCGTACTTTCCAAACCCCAAATCAGAACATTTGTTCTGATGAGTCTGAGAAGTGAGAGTGTACTTCTGGGGACAGTGGGAGGAATACTTGAAATCTGCACTGAGCTGTATGGTTGCCATGCTCGGAGAGAGGAGGGCATTATTTTATGAGCCAGAATACTTAATGGTTACTTTTGCTGTGCCAGGCATGTTTTAGAAAGTATAGAGCAATGTTCTCAAGTCTTTTGCTAAAAGATAGGCAAAATGAAGTTGAAGTGGAATAACTTAGCACTTAATATTTCATTAGCGTTTTTCTGTTCGTAATGTTAGGGAGAGAGAATGTGCCAGTTCTTAAATTTGAAAATATTTTTCACCGTGGTAACAAAAGTATTCATTAAACACAGCTCTGAGAAGTGATTGTTCCTGCATCTACTTGGTGGGGACAGTGCGGGTGGTGAGTAATAGCCTGGACTTTGAAATCAGTAGACCTGGTTTTGCATTTTGGTTCAGCAACTTCCTCATGAGGAGGAATAATGAAACTCCATGAGTCAGTCAAGTGCCTCGAACAGAGTGTGCTCAGTAAATATTCATTTGCTTTTGTTATTGATGAAGAAAACTGTTACTGAAAAAAAGGCAGTTCTAAACTCTAGATTTCTGTCTGAGACCCATCAAAAGAGATTTTCCAACTTCTGAGGAGGCAAACTAAAGTTCTTTATGAACGCACAGTTGGTGTGTTGGTGTACAATCTGTGCTGGGGTGTGTACTCGGTGCATTTCGTATGTTGTGTAGGGCCTCCTGGGATGTGTCTGGGGCCCCAGCACATGCATTTATTACTATTTCTCAGTTTGTAGGGATAATGTTACTGCCCTAGGCAAGTTTTTTATTTTTTTAAATATGACATTGCTCATCACATTTGTATTATATTTGGTAACCCTTTGTCAATTTTAATATTCTTATGGAAAACTGATATGATAGAGTTTTGAGGGGAGAGCTTATGATGTAAAGTCTGAGAAATGCACTTTACTGCTGTGAGTCTGGCTTTTCATTGACAGAGATCTGTCTGTTACATTTTTCTGTTCCGTCAGTCAGGATGTATTGAACGGATCTTGATGGAATAAGTGAATGAAGGAGAGCAGAAAAGGCTCTCGTTAAGTCAGAAGACGCTGAACAGTATGACTTCGCATATCTTCTGTTCCCTGATTAGCATATGCATCGTCAAACAGAGACCTTACTTTATTCACTGGCACAAGTCCTTTTCTTGTTTTTCCAATTTAGTCTGTAATGTCCTTCCAAAGAAGACTTGAATTTTGGTATGGTTTACTTTTTATACCTTATATAACTGTTAACCCTTTCTAAAAATTCAACATTACATTTATAACTTTAATAAAAACTTCACTCATTAGTAAAGTATAGTGGCAGCTTAGTGTAAGGGAGGCCGAGAGTCAGCCTGCCTGGGCTTGGAGTGCAGCTCCATCACTCCGGTTGTCTGAACCTCGACACATACCCAAATTTTTCTGGAGCTATTTCCCCATCTGTAAAATGGGTATGATAGTAGTACCTATGTCATGGGGTTTTTATGAAGATCAGATGACTTTAAATAAGTTCTTAGAATAGTGCCTGGTCCACAAACTATGCTGTGTAAGTGCTTTCTTTCACTATGCGTAGATACATTCTTTACTTTGATCTTAAACATACAGATAGAACTACTGTATTTTTGATGTTTTAATTAAAAATAGAAGAAAGGAAAATAGCAAAAGCCCATTTTAATTACATAGGAAATAAAATTTACTTAAGTGAGTATGAATATAAAAGTCATAGAAATACAATTATCTATCTGATAGAAGTATCAAAGATGGAACTTACTTACTGGGGGTAATTTGATGTAGATACTTGTTTGTATGTATCTACATTTGGTTATTTTCCGTGAAGTGATCTAAGGCCATGTTTTCTAGATAAGCACTTTTCTGAGACCACGAAAAGACAGGGTATTTGAAAATGGCATCTGCAGCGTCCTCCCTGTAAGAAGTCTGAACACATCAAAGTTCAGAGAAGTTTGAACACATCAAATTAAAAAACAGCTTTTTTTCAAACTCTTCCAGTTATGTTGAGATATAATTGACATACAGCTCCGTAGAAGTTTGTGTGCAGCGTAGTGATTGGACTCACGTGCATAATGAAACGATGACCGTGGTAAGGTTAGTGAACAACCATCATCGTGTAGATACAAAAGAAAACACAAGAGTTGTGATAAGAACTCTTAGGATTCACGCTCTTAATTTTGCATGTAACATAGCAGCCCCTATAATTAATATAAAATTAATTATATTAATCATGTTGTACATTACATCCTCAGTACTTACTTACAATATACCTGGAAGTTTGTACCTTTGACCACCTCCATCCAGTTCCTCCTCCTCCCAGACCCCCCTTCCCACTTTGGTAACCACAGGTCTGATCTCTTTTCCTGTGGGTTTGTTTGTTTTTTGAAGGATAATGGACCTGCAACACTATGTTGGTTCCTGGTGCACAACATAGTGGTTTGATATTTCTATGTGTTACAAAATGATCACCACTAAACAGTAGTTTCTTTTTGTTTGTTTTTTATTGAAGTATAGTCAGTTATAATGTGTCAATTTCTGATATACAGCATAATGTCCCAGTCATGCATATATATATATATATATATATATATATATATATATATATATATACACACATAGTCATTTTCATATTTTTTCACTAAAGGTTATTACAAGATGTTGAATATAGTTCCCTGTGCTATACAGAAGAAATTTGTTTTTTATCTATTTTTATAACAGTGGTTAACATTTATAGATCTCAAACTCCCAAATTTATCCCTTCCCATCCCCTTTCTCCAGGTAACTATAAGATTGTTTACTATGTCTGCAAGTCTGTTTCTGTTTTGTAAATGAGTTCATTAGTGTCCTCTTTTTTTGTTGTTGTTAGATTCCACATATGAGTGATATTGTATGGCATTTTTCTTTCTCTTCCTGTAAACAGTAGTTTTTTAATACCCACTGTGAACTGTAGGTTTTAATGGAACTATTAGATTTTTTCATACCTATTTGTTAAATATTGTAATCATTTTTTATTTGGAAAGGAAAACACCGATGGAGCAGAATAAAATAAAACAAAAATCATGACTTTAGATTCATTGGAATAATTAAATCATTCATGCATGTATTAGCTATTCGTTGAGCACCAGCTGTGTGTCTTGTATTGTGCAAGGTTCCGGGGAGCAAGTTTTGTAACAGAGCTGCATTTCATGAATGGATGATAGATACCTCTGTGGCACGGTGGATTATTTCTGTTGCTTCCCTATTATCTCCCATAAGAGGAATTTTAATTGGACGTTCCCTAACCTCCGGGGGTTGTTAAAAGTACCTGCAGAGAGTTGCCAGGGACCTTGTTGAGGTGTGTAGGGGCATACTGTCACTAAACTGTATAGGAGACTCTAATGTGGCAGCGTAGTGTAGGCGGGGATGATTTTAGTTACGGGATTTATTTGATGTAAAAGCTGCCGGCCTAGTGTCAGCTTGTTAGTCTACATTGGCTTTTTTTTTAAAACGAGAGCCAGTGTGAGCATGCTAGGTGATTTGTTGGGATGCAGGCAATCAGTAGGATGAGGCAATAAATAGGGTAATAATGTAAGATACAAGATCAGAGGGGAAAATACATGGGGATGAATAAATTAAATAAGTTAATCAGTAAATAGGAAAGCTAGAGAGTCTGCATTTAATTTTTATGACTATTTGACTTAGGCTAGGTTCCAGTAAAGTAATTTTTTTCAAAGTTCTATTTTTTTTAACTGAAATA